AACGTAGAGTCCACATACCCCCCTGTAGAACTGGACAGGGTTGCTTTGTTTGGGCTAACCCTAACCCTTCTCTCCCACACTCCATCTCAATTTGTAATTCAACAATATATTTTCTACTTTCTTGTTTATTTCTTGTCTTTAAATGTCTATTGTACAACGCCATGTCTTTTTAGGCTGCTGCAACACAAACATTTCCCAGATTGGGATCAATAAAGTACTTCTTATCTTATATCTCAGTTGCATTAAGATATCAAGTTTAGCAGCCCTAACTCTTGAGTATGAGTATGTATATATATATATATATATATATATGGTATGAAGACCTTGCATGAAGCCCACCTGAACAGAGGGGGGTTCCCAGGTTTGGGTTTGTTCCAGCTGAAGTGTGAGGGCACGTGCAGGAAGAGGTCAGTGAGGTCGTCCTGCCCCGCCCCCTCCTCCCCGGGGGGGTCCAGGAAGGCCTCCAGGTCCCCCTGCCCAGCCAGCAGCCCCCCCGTGGTCCTCCGGGTCTTTGAGGGGACGTCCAGCTCCTGGTAGCCCGACAGCAGGAAGGCGGCGGCGGGACTCCCCACCCAGGAGTCGTCAGTGACGCTGCCCCGCGGAGAGGCTCCCGGGCTGGGGGAGTGATGGGGGGAGTGATGGGGGGAGTGGGAGCGGGCGTGGGGGCCAGCACTGGAGTGACGTCTCTTTCCACAGGGGGACGTTGGTCGGGAGGACGGCCTGAGGAAGACGTCTGCTGTTAGATCAACTGTATTACACGTTTCTGAAATGTGTAAATATGCAAATGAGGCGCAGAAACGTGAACACTGGATAAAGCCAGGTTCATATTCTTGTTTTCATGTTGATGTTTACACTTTAGAGTCGGAGGGTTCACCAGAGGGATGTCTCTTTGTCTCACTTAAGTTAGCAAATGAAGCACCTTGATGTGTATTTTGGATGTTGACACATTAAGGAAGCAAAACAGCCCAAACAAAGTTCAAAATTGATCAGCCCATTTGTTGTTGTTTTTGTCTTGGGTGTGTTTTGTTGTTGTTACTCAAGCCTGTATTAAGTGTTTTTGAGTACCTAATATAATATAAATAATATAACACAGTTACCTGGAGGTGGGTCTGGGGGTCAGCCAGCTCTCCTCTGTGACGCTGGTCCGGGGGGAGTGATGAGGCGACTGTCGGGGCGACTGGTGAGGCGACAGCGATGGACTGAAAGCACCAGGATGTTGGTACTTCTGCTGCCAAAGCTCCACTCCGAAGGCCCCGCCCCCGCAGCCAGGTGAGCCCACGGGGGAGCAGAGAGCCAGGTGAGCGGCGTCCCTAAGCTCCGCCTCCACGTCGTCGTGGGAGAAGGACTCGCAGGAGGACAGGTCGGACATCCAGCTGCGAGAGGACAGGCTGCTGCAGGGACTGGCACTCAGAGCAGGGTCTCTATAGCTGGGAACCAGAGGAAGGTACAGCTGGCCCCTGAGGAGAGGAACGTTTATATAGCTTTCAACACCAGGCAATTCAAAGTAGTATTTTTTAAATACATTTTCGAATTGTCTTTTTTTTATAATTCTTTTTGGCAGAAGGGCTGGGATTAAATAAGCGTAAACTTTTTCCCACCCCTTTTCCGATGTGTAATTAGCTAGATCATTTGTTTATATATAATTTAAGTCAATTATATTTTTGCTTATCGATTTGAAACTGCTTAAGTTTGCACAGTATTATAATTCAGAGCAGGGTCCCGGTAACTGGGAACCAGAGGAAGGTACAGCTGGCCCCTGAGGAGAGGAACGTTTATATATAGCACCTTTCAACACGAGGAAATACAACACGACCCCTCTTTATCAAGACTCATTTTTGGAAAAATACCTTTTTGAAGACCAAATCTTGTTTTTGATAAAGAAAATAATTGTATTTGAAAATATTGATAACACACATCACACATTGTGTTCAAATGTGCCGTCTATTCGTCACTTCACGGATGTCTTCTCATTCAGCTGCATCATCACATCACGTCTTCCTCGCTGCCGTCCGTGGCATTAGATACGCAGCATTCCTTTAACCCATTCATGATGCTCTCTCGTAACTTCGCCTCTCTTGTTTATTAACTCGCCTACTTTTGATCCACTTTGTTGGAGTTGGTCTCTCTCTCTCTCCATCTCTCTCTCTCCTGTTGCTGTGAACTGTTTCCGTACTTTAAGACTCGTTTGGCTCAATCTGTTGTTGTGACTGTAATTACATCGAAAAGACTGGACCCAGAATATAAGACGACCCCTCTTTCAGATTTTAATAAACCCTGTCTTGTATTTTGGTCAATACAGTAGTCTTTTTTAAATCAGTTATTTTACAGACCAGGATGCCTCGGGGTTCCCGCCCTCCGCCCGGCAACACGCCATCACTTCCTGTCCGCTTCCAGGATCCACATGGCTGTTGGGAGCGATGGAAGTGATCTGGATACTCGGGCACTCGAAGGTTCTGGTGTTCCCCAGGGAGCCGTACTGGAGCCCCTGGGAGTCGTACAGGGACCCCTGCAGTTGGTACTGGTAGTCGGTGGGGGGGAAAGTGTGAGTCTGAAGCTCCAGAGGCTGATTGGAGGAGGAAGAAGGGGGGGAGGCGCCATCGAGCTGTTGACCTGAGAGGAAACAACATGCAAATCAGAATCAAACGAGAGCTCTATCATTTGATTTGCAAAGAGGCTTGCAGACATAATACAACAATATAAATAACACAACAGGTTTAGTATAGACACTACATACTGATATACACCTGAACACCAGCAGGAGAGGACTCTTTAAAGTAGAGACACTACATACTGATATACACCTGAACATCAGCAGGAGAGGACTCTTTAAAGTAGAGACACTACATACTGATATACACCTGAACATCAGCAGGAGAGGACTCTTTAAAGTAGAGACACTACATACTGATATACACCTGAACATCAGCAGGAGAGGACTCTTTAAAGTAGAGACACTACATACTGATATACACCTGAACATCAGCAGGAGAGGACTCTTTAAAGTAGAGACACTACATACTGATATACACCTGAACATCAGCAGGAGAGGACTCTTTAAAGTAGAGACACTACATACTGATATACACCTGAACATCAGCAGGAGAGGACTCTTTAAAGTAGAGACACTACATACTGATATACACCTGAACATCAGCAGGAGAGGACTCTTTAAAGTAGAGACACTACATACTGATATACACCTGAACATCAGCAGGAGAGGACTCTTTAAAGTAGAGACACTACATACTGATATACACCTGAACATCAGCAGGAGAGGACTCTTTAAAGTGAGACGTACTACAGTACTGATATACACCTGAACATCAGACT